TACGATCAACCAACCGAACATAGAGCGAGGCATCACTCGTCACTTATATGGTGGTACCACATGCTCTTTGGCCAATGTGTAAAGGCCTCCTTGATGTACGCCTCTGGAGCAGCAGGCTCGGGAATTTGGTATAGAAACGGTTCGCTGCCGAAATTAGTCCGAATTTTATCCCCCGGTGTGAGTCTGACCATTGGGCGTAATTTTCCACGGATCCCGGGTATTGGTTTGCCTTTCTCAGTCAGTACAGCAAAGGCCGTTAAAATAATAAAAGAGAGCTTACTAGCTCGTTTCCCGTTTAGGGTGAATGAGACCGCCCCTCGTACTCGGTCAAAATGACAGCCTATGGTGTCATTCGTGTCAAAATGGGGAGCCGGTTCATCATAAACTTCGGCGTCGCCATTGATAAATCCAGAGCGGTAGCCCCAGGAACCTAGGGCTTCTCCGAGGCAGGTAGAGTAGAGGTCGGTGGCATCGTTGATATGATGATATATGGCATCCACAAATCCGATTTTGCAGCCCGTTGATCCCTTCACTAAGTGAACTTCGAAGTAGTAGTCGTCTACAACTGGAGTTATGGGGAATTTTGCCCGGAGTTGTTCTGTAGAGCCAGAAGCTGGGGGAGATATCAGCCCCAGAATACTGCTGGGAAATTGGTTACGATACTTACTATTCTCAACTTCACACCCATCTTCACTAATCTTCAGCCCTGTTGAATTATCGATAGCCTCCCACCCCCACGGCCCCATTCCCACAATATTCATAATTTCCGATTTCTCGACGTTCCCAAGTACTGCCAGTAGTCCCTCCACGGAGCCTTCCTTCAAACACTGCATAGCGTAAAACATCGGAGTCCAGCCATGTTCATCTTTGGCCCACGGATCCGCCCCTTCGCGAAGTAGCATCTCACTAATCTTGTTAAACCCCCTGGCAGTTGCAAGGTGAAACGAAACCCCTAATCCTAGCGACTCCTTCCTATTTCTGAGTAGTAATTCCACCATTTTGGCGTGCCCATAGAAAGCAGCGCCCTCCAACACTGGTACAAAAACCTCATCTCTCGAAAGGATCTCCATAGCTTCCGGCTTCTGTAGCATGCGTTGAAGAGTTGTGACTCTCCCGTGCTCCGCTGTAACCTTTAGGGTCCGGGGGAGATGTTCATTGCTATCGCAGATGATCTTGGAGCCATATTTCTCCACAAGCAGCTGCGCGGTTCGGTCGAGTCCCATATGCGAAAGGTCATACATGAATAGCCAGAGGGGCTTGCTATTCCGAACCTCTCTGAAGTCCTCCGAACTTAGAATTGCATTCAAGACGTCCTCGTGCCTGTTTGACATGGCCACAGATATAGATGCTCCATACCGGCTATAGTCCGGGTTGTCGCTTCTACTAGCTTCAATAAGTGCTTTTACGCAGTCTACATGCCCACGTTTCGCTGCAGCTGCCATTGCGTCGCTTTTTCCTATCGGTGTCGTCTTTGCACCGCAGTTCAGGAGGACTTCAGTGGTTTTAACGTGTCCATGTTCTGCTGCAGCTTCAAGTGGGGTGAAATGCGGGCCACCGTAGTGATTGACGTCAGCTCCTCTGCCAATTATCCCTTTAATTAGCTGCCAGAGACCAACTGCAGATGCGTAGTATAACGTGGCTGTTGAGGAACTCTTTGAATTTAGGTAATTGTTGACATCCCAAGCGTCGGAGCATTGCGCCTGCCGCCATGAAATAAAATTGGGGTCGTTATCATTACTGTAGAATTCCGCAAGCAGAGCATCTAGGATCTGGTCTGAACCGTACTTGTACCTGAGCACGTGTCTCCAGCCGTGTTTAGCAGCATATAGATATAGAGGGTACTCTTTTTGCCGGAGATCAAACCCGGCAGTAGTGCTGCAAGGACCTGTGCTGAAATCCTCGAGTAGTAGATATGTGTATGTGGCCTTTGCGAGCTCGGTATTTCCCCGAGTTTCATTGACATAATAATATGAAGCTTTGCTCTTAGCCAAATTCGGTGACACCAAATATTCCTTTACCGTAAAGTGTGCTAATCCCGCTATGTTCTTCTCGTTCCTATCAACAAGTCCACCACAGATGTCTAGAATATCTTCCTCATCATTAAGTCTATTGTCGGGATCCATCCGCATAGATCCAATCTCAATTGCTAGCCCTTCTCTGATCTCGGAAAGAGTCAAGTCCCGGTCACCGCATACTAAGAATCGAAACACTTGCAGTGCAAGCTCGCGGTCTTCCTCTGCTATGTTGCATAGGATTCTTTCGTACGTTTCGTCCAGGGTCGGGGGAAGTGATTCTAAAGCGGATTTGATGGCTTTATCGCTTCTGAGTTTACCGATCTGGACCAGACAGCATTTTGCCCAACGGAACCTTCACATAAGTAATCAGAATAACCCGCTGAAGCTAAGGAACAGCGATAATCACACACATTCCCTGAGCTCCCTTTATTAAAGCGTCGATGATCTCGCGCTTAATGGTACTGGATAGACGTTTCAACCTTCCATATTGTTCAATCTCGTGAGAGATGTATAGCTCAATATCCTTTCTAACGTCCTCCTTCCGGATGCCAAGACTGGGCAGGCCCTCGAAGTGAAGCTTTATATTGAGATGATCCCGGCTGATGACTAGAAGATTGATATTGTTTAGGCCTGAGAGCTCCCTCAAGGTTTCTAGCATGATAGGTTGTAAGCTATCTCTGCACTCATCCAATGCATCAACAACAATCGCAAGTTTAGGAATCCGTCTTAAAAGTTGTCGGAGAAGGTTAAGGAGACCCGATAATTTAGGCGGGCCATCCCGTGACTTCTCCGAAAAGTAGTCCTCCACATCTTGAGTCATGGTATGCCCCTGATTCGATATTTGCCAAATGATAGATCCTACGAGGCTTGTCGCGTTTTGCTTGGATACTTGTTTGAAGTCGCAATAGAAATATGCGAGTATTGAGCCGGGCTCTTTAGCAAACTTTGCGGAAACATGTTCGATTAGGGTAGAACTTGGAGAGATTGATCAGTGTCTATTCCCTCGGGACGCTAGAAAATTTTCTCACGATAGGATTGTTTTTCCCGCACCAGCTTTTTGTTATAATTAGCAACTGCCTGCCGTCATACTAATCGAAGCTTGGTCGGATGTATGGAGGGAAACTAACGTATCCCATGCAGCCAGAGAAAAGATTTGGCCCCCTTCAACCAGTCTTGAAATTCCTTCCCTTCAGTGAACCAACGCCCAGTGCCATACTGGCATAGTTTTCTTGCTGCCAAATGATTAGATTGCGTGTCCGCCGGGCAAACCCAATCTCGGATTCTCTTTTGCATATCGCCTAGAGGCGTTAGTATAACGTAATGGCATCTGAAAGTATGAAGAGTAGTGAATAAAAAGGTATATCGAGAGATGAACACCACGGGGCTAGGAGAATCTCATCTGGTATCTCCCTCCTGTGGTTGCGGCACCCTACAACGCCGGCAATCCAGCATCCCAAATGCACAGAAGCGTTACAATTTAGAAGAAATTCAGGAAAGCCTACTATAGACAGCCTGTTTCTCGTCCTGCTTATTTAAGAGTTGAATTGCTTTAATATCCTCTACATCGTTTCGAACCTCCCGCGCTAACGACCTATTGTCCAATTAGATATGTCCCGACTACCCACTCATTCAAAAGATTCAGAAAAAAGCACTAACACCTCATCCACAGATAAAGCAACCTCAAGTAACGACTTATGCCTCTCCAACCGTTCACACCACTCCTTTGTTGTCTTCTCTCTCAATGGCCAGGAAATCTTCCAAAGACCCCGCCTCCTACCGGCCATCTCATACTTCTGCAAATCCCTCAACATCGCTTCCATCAACTTGCGACACTGCTCGACAGGCTCGCCCATAGTTCTTATGAGATTTCCGGAACCCCCATTAGCGGTTCCGGCATTGGCGGCCAGGTCGTCAACTAGCTTCTTTATAGTGTGTAGGACCCCACTGAGTGCCGTGACTTCTCGTACAAGGTGTTGTAGTTCGGTCGGGAGTTGGGCAGAACTGGAGCCGTATTGGTATCCTGTAGTAAGGAGTTTTCCAGCGAGCGATAGCACCGCTATGATATTGGCAGACAACGAGAGCCCTTCCATGGTAATAGGTGTATGAAAGGTGCTGGTATGATATGTTGTTAATTGGCACTGGGGATCTGTCAGAAATTCGGCAAAGTTTTATACATCACCGAGGTTCAGGCTTCTGATGTGAAAGAAATGGCAAGTAAGACTCAGCGCCCTACGGGCTTAGGATTACCTGTGTGGAAGGTTCGAAAGAAGGGGCTTCGAATGGCAGGCAGCAAGGTTGCTGGCACTGCCGCCTATCCACTGCGATACCAGTTGCAGGCAAGAAGTATTGGATAATTCGAGTCGAGAGTTTGTATTACGCAGAGATTTTGGTTATGTAATTTACGAGTATTTCTCGAATCCCTGCTTCCGGGAATTTCTTGTTTGCTACGAGTAACGTCTATGTCGCCACAAGCGGAAGTGCCGGTAAGCTGCGGAGGGTGGCCAGTGCCGCCAATCACGGGTCCGCTCATACCCCGCGGACCGCGGCAAATTTGTGTGGGAGAAGAAGGAGATACTAGTACTCGAGTACTCGAGCAATGTTCTCTTGACCGGAATCTTACAAGTATAGTCTACGGTAGACTATGAGTTTGTGATGCCTGGATGGTTGCGTGCAATCCTAGAATCTTTGGGATGTATCCGGTTCTGAGTTGCCGACGGATGTGCTGAATTTGTGGTTATTATGCGAACCCCACTCCATGCGTGCCAAGTTTTGCCAGCGCTTAGACGCAGTTCTTCCACATTTCTTTTTGCTTTTGTTAAACCTGCGTGACATGATACAGGACCACCAGTGATTTACCGGCACTCGAGTACGATACTCGAGTAGCTTAGGGGTTGGATTACCGCAGCCTCAGTGCTGCCTGGACAACTGCCTACCATCCCCCACTCCCTTCTTTGGATCTTTCCACTCCAGGGCTCTGGGAGTCTTACACGCCCTCCTTTTCCTAGAGGAAGTCCGAATATAATTTTTATAAAAGACTCTTGAGTTTTCATTTGGTGTCACTCCCAAGTCACAGCTTACCAGTACTTATCACGCACGTGATCATGGAGGGACTCTCATTAGCTTCCAATATCATAGCGGTGCTCACGCTCGCCGGCAAACTCCTTACCACAGGATACCAATATGGCTCCAGCTCCGCTCAATCCCCACCCGAACTCCGACGCCTGGTACGAGAAGTCACGACACTCAGTGGCGTCCTGCACGCTGTAAACAGGCTAGTCGGCGACCCTGTTGCCAGTCCGAGAACCGATAATGGGAGTTCTGGAAATCTCATAAGAAATATGGCCGAGCCCGTCGAGCAGTGCCGGAAGTTGATGGAGGGGATGTTGAGGGATTTACAGAAGTACGATGCGTCGAGTAGGAGGCGGGGCGCCTGGAGGCTTTGCTGGCCATTGAAGGAGAAGACGACGAAAGAGTGGTGTGAGCGACTGGAGAGGTATAAGTCGTCGTTTGAGGTTGCTTTGTCCGTGGATGAGGTGTGAGTGCTTCGTGGGCCGTTCGATTGAGTTGGAGTGGGCGCATATCTAATTGGACATTAGGTCGTTAGCATGGGAGATTCGAAACGATGTAGAGGATATTAAGGCAATTCAACTCTTAAATAAGCAGGACGAGAAGCAGGCTGTCTATAGTAGGTTGTTCTCTATTCTCACTAAGTTGTGAAGCTTCTGGGCGTTTGGGATGCTAGATTGACGGCTTTGCCGGGCACCCCAATCATAGAAGAGAAAGATATCAAGCGCGAATTCTTTGGGCGCCGTGGAGTCCATCTCTAGGATATGTCTTTTTGCCCACCGCTCTCTATACTTTCGGATGACATTGCCCTCTACTAATACCTCTAGGTGCTACGCAAGAGAGGATCCAAAATTGGCTTTCCCCAGCAGACCCAAAATCTAATCATTTGGCTGCGAGAAAGCTGTGCCAGTATGGCACTGGGCGCTGGTTCACTGAAGGGAAGGAGTTTCAAGACTGGCTGGGGCGGGGCAAATCGTTTCTCTGGTTGCATGGGATCCGTCAGTCTCCCTCCATACATCCCGCGAAGCTTCAATTGATGAGACGGTAGGCAGTTGCTAATTATAGAAAAGCTGGCGCGGGGAAAACGATCCTCACGTGAGAAGCTCTCCTAGTATCCATAGAGAGTAGTCATAGAGGGTAGTTACTGATCAGTCCCTCCAAGGTCTACGGTGATCGAACACGTCTCTACAAAGTTTGCTAACGAGCCCGGTTCAATACTGGCATATTTCTATTGCGACTTCAAGGAAGTATCCAAGCAAAACGCGACAAGCCTCATAGGATCGATCATTTGGCAAATAGCAAGTCAGGAGCTTACCATGCCTCAGGACGTGGAACGCTTCTTTCAGGGGACATCACGGAACGGTCCGCCGAAGCTATCAAGTCTCATTAAAGTTCTTCACCAGCTTTTGAGACGGATCCCTAAGCTTGCAATTGTTGTCGATGCATTGGATGAGTGCAGAGATAGCTTACAGCCGGTCATGCTAGAAACCTTGAGGGAGCTCTCAGGCCTAAACAATATCAATCTTTTGGTCGTCAGTCGGGATCATCTCAATATAAAGCTTCACTTCGAGGGCCTACCAAGTCTTGGTATACAGAAGGCGGACGTTGCGAAGGATATTGAGCTATACATCTCTGATGGGATTGAGCGAAACGAAAGGTTGAAACGTCTATCTAGTCGTATTAAGCACGAGATCATCGACGCTTTAGTAAAGGGAGCTCGTGGAATGTATTGTTGTCGTCCCCTAGCTTCAGCGGGTTGTTCTGATCATCTATGAAGGTTTCGTTGGGCAAAATGCTGCCTAGACCAAATCGGTAAACTCAGAAGTGATAAAGCTGTCAAATCCGCCTTGGAGTCACTTCCCCCAACCCTAGACGAAACGTACGAAAGAATCCTATGCAACATAGCAGAGGAAGACCGCGAGCTTGCACTTCAAGTGTTTCGATTCTTAGTATGCGGTGACCGGGACTTGACTCTTTCAGAGATCAGAGAGGGGCTAGCAATTGAGATTGGATCTATGCGGATGGATCCCGACAATAGACTTAATGATGATGAAGATATTCTAGATATCTGTGGTGGACTTGTTGATAGGAACGAGAAAAATATAGTAGGATTAGCACACTTCACGGTAAAGGAATATTTGTTATCACCTGTTTTGGCTAAAAGCAAAGCATCATACTACTATATCGCCGAAACTCCAGGAAATACTGAGCTCGCAAAGATCACATACACATATCTATTACTCGAGGATTTCAGCACAGGTCCTTGCACCACTACCGCTGAGTTTGATCTCCGGCAAAAAGAGTACCCTCTATACCTATATGCTGCTAAACACGGCTGGAAGCACGTACTCAAGTACAAATACGGTTCAGACCGAATCCTGGATGCCCTCCTTGCACAATTTTACTGTAATGATAGTAATCCGAATTTTATTTCATGGCGGCAGGCGGAGTGCTTCAACCCTGGGAATGCCACTGATTACCTAAAGCCAGAGAGCTCCTCGACAGCCACACTATACTACGCTTCCGCGCTCGGCCTCTGGCAAGTACTTAAGGGGATAATTGGGGGAGGTGCGGACGTCAATCATTACGGTGGCCCGCTCTTCACGCCACTCCAAGCCGCGGCGCAATATGGACACGTTAAAACCATTAAAGTCCTCCTGGAGCGTGGCGCAAACACAACTCCGATAGGGAAGAGCGACGCAATGATAGCTGCGGCACAACGTGGGCATGTAGACTGCGTGAAGGTACTTTTGGAAGCCGAGGAAAGAACAGGCGATGACCCAGATCTCGACCGGTATCAGACATCCATCCTTGGGGCTATGTGGAATAGGCACGAGGGTGCCGCCAATACAGTCCTATGTTCGAAGCACTTCACAAAATCTCAGGATAGCGAGCGCTTCTGGTTGTTGATGGCTCATGCTGTGATTATGGGATTCGACAGAACCTCACATATACTCATAGAGAAACATGGTTCCCAGATTATCTCTGACAAAAATGAGCATTTCCCCAGGACTCTACAGGTTACAGCGGAGTACGGCAGAGTCAAAACTCTTCAATGTATGTTACAAAAGCCGGAAACCATGGAGATCCTTTTGAGAGATGAGGTTTTTGCGCCAGTGTTGGAGGGCGCTGCTTTCTATGGGCAGACCAAGATGGTGGAGTTGCTACTCAGAAATAGGAAAAAGGACTCGCTGAAATTGGGGGCTTCGTTTCACCTTGCAACTGCGAAGGCATTTCCAAAAATTAGTGAGATGCTGCTTCGCGAAGGTGCGGATCCCCGTGCCAGAGATGAACATGGCTGGACTCCGATGTTTTACGCCATGCAGTGCTTGAAGGCGGGTTCTGTGGAGGGACTACTGGCGGTACTCGGGGATGTTGAAAAATCGGAGATCATGAATATTGCGGGAACAGGACCGGGGGGGTGGGAGGCTATCGATAATTCAACAGGGCTGAAGATTAGTGAAGATGGATGTGAAGTTGAGAATCGTAAGCAACCGATCTCCTAGCAGCCTGAGCACCTCAGCCTAACACGCTCCCCAGTCTCGGCCACTGACGAGCAACTCCGGGCAAAATTCCCTATAACTCCGGTCCTGGACAACTACTACTTCGAGGTTCACATCTTGAATAGATCATCGAATGGCTGCCAAATTGGCTTCGTGGATGCCATGTACCACTACGTCAGCGACGGTTTCGAGCTCTACAATTCTTTCCCTGGACAAATGCTCCGTTCCTGGGCCTACGCCTCAGGGCGCATCTACGCAGAAGAGGATTGTCACACGAAATCCGTTCCTGATTTTACCACCAACGACATCATAGGCTGCCATTTCGACCGGGTGCGAGGCGCAGTCTCATTCACGCTGAATGGAAAACGAGCTGGTAAGCACCATTAATTATCGGCTCTCACAGCACTAACAGGTACAGGTCAACCACTGCCCGGGATCCGCGGAAAATTACGTCCAATTGCCAGACTCGCGCCTGGGGATAAAATTCGAACTAATTTCGGCAGCGCACCTTTTGTACACGATATCCCCGAACCGGCTACTCCGGAGGCCTACATCAAGCAGGGATCGGCTGCTCGTTGCGTAACGTTCTGGTTTGGCCATCCTGATGAGACCGCCGAGTGATGCTTTGTGTCTAACATTTGTGGCTTGTTGTGCGATGTTTGGGCTGAGCATGTAACAGTGGGCCCTCAATATAAGAGAAGGCGCGGGGGCAAGGGTTTAATGTCCTGTATAATAACAACTTGCTTTCACCAATGGGAGTTTCTCGCCTAGATGATGTTATAGGAGCCAGGTTCGATCGATTCCACGGAAGCTCTCCTTATGATATGTGAACGTTTCTGATATCGAGTCTACGGTATTCGGCCCTTGCGCGTGAGGGGCCTACGGGGACGTAGGTTAACATAGAGGCACGAATTGTGTTACCGTTTTCCCTAACCACGCATAGCTATGGTTCCCAGATATAGCTCACCGCCCAGCCGATCATCGCACCTTGCAGCAACACAGAAAAACCACACCAAAGCGCCAAGGAAACGGCCATTCTGATTTTACACTTTCTATGTCCGTCCTCATGACCGATCACGCCGCATAGATGCGCCAGAGCAGCTGAGAATCCAGGGGCCAAACGACCGCCCAGGGGAAATTCTGCGCCAAAGAGCTCTAAGCCTCAGGGCAAGCAAGCACAGGGAATCTGCATGGGCACCCACAGAAAAAGGTATAATACGCGATTGGAAAAGTGCTCAACTGACGATAGGCCTCATCACTATGATACACCAACTTTACTCTACCCATACCATAGGACGAGTGTAGAGTAAAGTACCGATATAGGGAGGATGCCTTGCAGCCTAACCCACCTCAATCATGTCATTCTTGGTATACGGGGGGGGGGGTAAGGGTTTGGAAAGAGAAAGAAAAGGAAAAAGGAAAAAAAAAAGTATGATATTATGATACCGTGGAATCTCAAATAATTGGACCGTGAGCCAGGTATCGTAGTCCAACATTTCCATCTCTTGAAAGGGTTCGAAAATGCAGACCAAGCCTGTGCCGCTCAGCCCTCTGAAAAGGCAAAATAAACATGACCTCCCTGTGCCCCAATCACATCTCCCAACCGCTCTAGCATACCTTTTATCAAGTTGATCCAAAGTAGTCTATCATACCCCGATCAACCGCCTTGTACTAGTACACAAGCATCATCCTAATCCTTTCCTTTTCCTTGCGGCCAAGACACTACCACAGCACTGTACTGGAACTGTACAAATACTGCGCCATAAAAACCATAATGATCGAAGTTTGCGGTACAGTACAAGTATTCGTGCCTCCGAGCCAAGAATTGGCACCTCTTTTGGAATAGCCCTCATGGATCTGTAGGGGGTATAGCGTTGAAGCTGCTGTACGAGTAAAGGAGCGCGCACACAACCGCCATGTACTTGAGTAGACTACGAGTACGAGTAGAGAAATAATCTAAACATCACAGACCTTGGCGGCACAATGTTTTGGCCATCAGACTAAACTATCCTACTAAGTATTACGATAGACTAGGTTACCTGCTGCCACATTTCCCTACTACTCCCGATAAAACTATATTGCACCATTGAGCCCCCAATGTAGCTCCTACATGGCCAAGAAAGGAAAGCGTCCAATTCCTTGTAAGAGTCGCTGTGCTGTTAAACGTGTGATGCGATCACTCTCACCGGATAGACTACCTTGCGCCTCTGGCTCAGTCTTTCCAGCAGCTCGAACGCTATACTTTTTATGGGTCGGGCGGGGCCATTCCAAAAGAGGTGCCAATTCTTGGCTCGGAGGCACGAGTACTGTTATGTCGCTGGACTTGCCTTGCTCCGGCAAGGTCTGGTATTTCTCTGCTTCTGTATGTATCTCAGTGGGACTGAGCAGCTCTTTTTTCTTTTCTTCTTTGCCTTGTTTTTCGCCCCCCCCCCCCTTAAAAGTAGGGAATACTGAACCGCATTGCGTGTTGTTCGGTGCGATGCGGTATACGGTAGTCTACTCGTAGTATCATACCCGTACAGTACCGGTACAGTACCTCACTTTCCGCGGAAACTTTGCGGACAGGAGTGTACCGGCCGCACTCGGGTAAGATACCAGTATTCGGACCCGGTCGTTCCTGCGAACGTCAGAGAATTATCATACGAATACAAGCATGCGAAAATTTTCGTGCCAAGCTTTCTCTACCAAACAACAAATTCCGTACGAGTATGATACCTAAGTACCGGTAGTCTAATGGGGTGGACCTTTGTGAACAACTGTAATATATGTCCCTAATCCGTGTTCTCTACTCGTAGCAAAGCTCTACCACCGGCAAGCCCAAAATTCGGCGGTATGCAATAGCAGTCGTGTTCACAAACACCAATCCACTCCGAGCGCTGTGCCCCTCTCCAACAGCATTGTGCCCCCCCCTCTCCAACCAGCACTGTGCCTCTCTCCGCCAGCACTGTGCCCCCCCCCCACCAGTTCTGTGCCCCTCTCCACCAGCACTGTAGCAAGCCTCGACCAAGTCCCCCAGCACCTCAACGCTTTTCCCAACCCGTAATACTCGAGTACGACGCCACCCACCCGCAAATCCCTGCTCCCAAGGCTTAATAACACCAACCTCCCCAATTAACCACTCCAACTTTCCAATGTGCTTACTTGTGCAGCCACTTACTCATACGCGAGTACGGGTAGACAGTGCCTACCCCGCCCGCGTCTAGACTATATAGATACTCCCCTCTCCTCAGCGAGTACTTAATTCCCCAAACCCCACCTACCCACCCTACCCTATCAATCCAAACCATCCATCCCATCTCATCCTAAACCATAAAACAATATACCGGTACAAACCTTCAAATGACCAGCAGGTACAACCCTACCTCCGCCTTCTACACTGCCGCCGAGAGTGTTGGAAATCTAGCCGGGTATGATGACCCTGGCGTGAAGTTGCTAGTATGATAACTTCTTTCTCCCATTCGCCCCAACGCACATAGTACAGTCGAGATTTATGACAGGAAAGGCGTATAGCCTTTACAAGCAAACTAGGGTGGGCGACGTCACAGGTTCTAGGCCGCTCCTCGACCCCGAGGTTTATCCCCCCCCAATTACCCCCCCTCACGTGGTACTAAATTGTTGCAACAGAGCAAAATGAAATTCGATGCCTGGACACTCGTCAAGGGTATGACGCACCAGGAAGCCGACGCGCGCTATCTTAACTGCTCGGAGCATATGGTTCAGGGAGTGCCATTGAATCCAGAGAACTCCGCGCTGTTGGGGGCGATTAAAGAGAAGCTGGGCGTGAACAAACCCTATCTCTCATCACTTTGGCGCTGATAGAGGGAAGGAAGTAGGGAGCACAGCTGCTACCGACTACAGGATGGATGGAGGGTTGAGCGGGAGTTTGTGTATGAGTGAGGGAGCGGTTGCGCTTAAGAATTTAACAGAGCTGCGAGGGGTTTCTTCTTGTTACTGATTTGATTGATCCATCAATTAACGTAGTTGTTGATCTACCAAGACGTACGGGTGATGCGAAGCGTCCCTCCTTGAACAATCCAAATCTAAGGTTTCCTTCTGCAAGCATCTCTAGGCAGTCCTCAAGGGGGCTATCGAGTAAACGAATCGTTACTTGCGAAAGAGGTTTCCGTTGTTGCCGTTCCGTGTGGCCGTAGCTCTCGCTACGCCATCGGCTGCCTTATAGGAGAGTGAAAATTATATTGCCCTGCTATTCCCCCACTCCTTCCATTCTTCTTCCCATTCCAACGCCCTAGGCCCCTACCAATCCACCTATCCCCACACATCAGCGATAGCCGAATCCCATGAAACAATCGATACTACCTGCATGAGAGCTTTACTTTAGCCCCCCAGCCCTAAGACCAATGCCGAACCCTTCATTTTCCGATCCAAGTCTAAGGAAACGAAATAGGGGGTGAAAAAAAAACCAAGATTGCCATCAGTAGAAATAGAAACAAAGGTGAATTCGCAAGATACACAAAAAAGATGAATAAGAGACAAGAAAACAAAAAACCCATGCACATTTAGATGTTACTCCACCCCCATCCTATTTCCCTCCCGGCACACCGACACTACGCCACACTACTCAATTAATCAACCTTTCCACCAACACCTTCCTCCTTGGTAGACTCAAGCCTAAAGAACCCACCAGTGCCCCGCCTCTTCATCCGTCCACGACCCCAAACGGCTAGCGCGATAACGACAGAGGCAAGGAGGAACCACGAGACCAAAGGATGGTTGGAAACCTTAGCCCTGATCTGGTAGTATGCAGTCTCGAACCTGTTCGTAGTACTCTTGCTTCTGATGCGAGGATGCTCGGCAATGACAGCCTTGAGGGTATCGAGGATAGTCGAGCGCGAGGGGACAATGGCAGTGCCCTCGAGCGTGGTATCCCAATATTGTTTGGTCTACAATATATCAGCTCAATGAATTGATTGGGAAGGGTAGCGAGAACTGACATCTTCTTCGTTAACAATAATTCTCTCGCCCATCTCCCCAACGTTAATGCCATACGTAGTCCTGACCCAGCGCTCCCAGAAGACGCCATCAACCCAGGCAAAGCCAACTTCCTTCTTCTTCTCCAAGTTAATCTTCATGTTCTTCGCGGCTCTGAGAGCCCTTTGGTCATTTCTGTCTTCAGCCTCTTCGATTCGAAGTTGCTTTTTGTCTCTCAACTCCTGCTTCTCGTTCTTCTCCTGAAGCTGGCGCTGATCCATAAACTCTAGGGCAGCCGCCTTAAGCTCCTTCTTCGCAGCGGCAAAGTCCTTGGGCCTATCCCTAGATAATATACCGAGAACAACAGTCTTCCCATTCATAACTTCATGCGAGTTGGATGCAGAGAGCTCGGGGAGGATGGGAAGCCAAACAGTGCGCGCCCATCCGGTGACACGGCCAAAATCACGAATGGCACCCGGGGAGATACCCGGGAAATAGCTCGGATGGCCGTCACGAACAACTATAAGCCTGGGCCACGTGGTTATTCTGAAACGTCTAGCGAGAAGCTCACTCTTAGTCTTCAAGAGAGGAGCATGGCCAATAAGGGTCAAGGGAAGCCTCTCCATAGCCTTGAAGTCTTCGGTGGTGGTGGCAGAATCGTAGAAGAACAAGAAAGCAACCTCCATACCACCCTTCTCCATCTCCTCAAAGTCGGTGAACTCAATTTCCTTAATGCTTGAATCGACAGCTTTCTTGGCAAACGAGACAAGATCTCCGAGACCACGAAGACCATTATACTCAATCCTTTCACCGTGCTGGAAATAAATAATGGTCGGATATCCGCGAATCTTGAGCTCTTTGCAAAGACGTCTATCGTTCTCGCAATTGATCTCTCCAATGTTAAGCTGGTTCTTCATCTCACGGCCAAGCTCGGCCCATGTTGAAGCCAATGCCTGGCAATGCTGGCACCAAGGAGCATAAAACTTGATAAACCATCCATCACCGGTCCCGATAACCTCTTTCAAGAAATCATCCGCAGCCAATGCGACACTCTTACCCTCAGGGTTCTTCGATTCATCGTAAATGGTTTTCGGAAGAGCAAGATTGCGATTTGACTTGGCAGCGATTTCCACAATGTACTTATCGACGAATTTAGACATATCCTCCACAGTGCGGTCCGCTTCTATCGGGTACTGCTCGATAGCCTTTCCATCCTTGAAGAGGATAAAGCTAGGGAACATCTCAATTCCAACCTTCTTATCGGCACAGATATCACCGTAGGAAACGCAATTAATATTGGCAAAGTGAAAGTCATATTTCTCCGTGAAGGTTGGACTAGAAGACGGGGATCCAGGGTTCGAATTAGGCGAAGGGGGAGTCCCTGAATCTACCACCTGGGTCGCGTACTTGTCGTGCAATTGCTTCCATATAGGGGCGGCCTTAATACAGTGTGGACACGTCGGCGAGTATCCCTTCACAAACCTTGAAAACGATAACAAATCCAAAGTCAGCCTCACGACAAACCGCTGCCGAAGTTACTACAGCAGGGCCAGGAAATAGGAAGGGGGGGGGAACGAAGATGACCCAAATAGATCGTAACCCTCCCCACCCATGTGTGGGGAGCATGCACGGCCAATGGTTGTAGAGCGATTGAAAGTGCAAATAAACAGGAAGAAAGACAAAAAAAGAACTTCCTTCCCAACAGAGAAACAAAAATAGCTCACCAGTAACTCTTCCCGATAGTTGTCCAGAAGTTCCCCGTTGTCAACTCGATGATATCAGGAGCTTTGACTTCCGATTCAACCTTCGCCGGCAAAGTAGCAGCCGAAGCAGGTGCTACAGTAGCAACACTAGCAGTCCGAGCGGTCTGGATAGGCTCTCCGACCACTAGCGGGGCCGCAAGAGCAGCGAATAGTAATGGAATAAATGTTGAAAAGCGCATCGTGGACGATGGACGATGTGGTATGGGGGGGAGCCCTCTGGGGGGCGAACGGCGAAGGGAGCTCAGGGCCAAAGAAAGTGGGTGAAGAAAGGGATGGCGAGGATGAACGGAATGGCGTATGGGTTCGTGTTTCTAATGTAAGGGTGAACAGGAAGGCGGGTTAAGGGGAAATGGAAGAAGGAAGTGTGAAGAGTGAAAGCTATCGAGGCTGCTCCCTTTTTCAGGGGCGGGATGGGTGAGTACCGGTGGTGGTGGTGGTATAATGATAGGTGAACCCGCTAGGAAGAGCGTTTCCCTAGCTATTCTCGCGAATAGAGAGAGTTGCAGGGGAGGCTCTCTTTTTCTTCCTCTCCACACTCCTTTCTTCTCCCCAAACCCAGCACTGTGGCATGGTTTACATAATCAGCCACACAAAATAAACTGCCGCCTCCCATGCTGCCAGCTGCCACTTAAGCATTTCTATTTTGGTGCAACACCTCAAATACCGGTACGAGTACAGTACCGGTACAGTACTGGCGCAGTGATGTGCTGTGTCATATTCATCGTTCACCGAACGGGCAAATCAGAAAATGCTTCATCTCCCTTACCGTACCCATTAGCTTAGCCTGCATACCAAATGCCTTGAGGTTCGGTGGTTGTCCCGTAGTCAGTTGCGAATATATGATTGAACCAGGGGGATATTTATCAACTTTGAAGTACTGTACTCGTAAGGTGACATTGAGCTCCAAGTCACCTAGCCGCTCTATTCATACCGGTATGATATATTTTTCACGCAAAGTTCGAAAAGCCCCAGAGCACCGCCTGAATCAACCCCATGAAAAAGATCTCCCTCGGCTCGTGGGTCGAAAGGATCAGGAAAGACCATGTACGACGCACATACTGTAGCGCCTGTAACCGCCACTCAGAACCCACCCAGCCCGAAGGTACTGTACTCGTACCACGACAGCCCCAATACCACCTTCTACGATACAAATTGTGCTACCGATAACGATTAATTGCCGTTCGCTGGCTCAGGTGGCCTGTTGTTGCCCAAGTGATATCAAACCAAGGGTATGCCGGTCGTCTACTTATCACAGCGTTCATCCCCTCACCTCCTGTTCAGCCCATAAAATGCTAGAGCTTGTCAATGATCGACGGGGCGAGAGTTTAGCTCAAATTTAACTGGGGAAAATAAGACTTCATTTCAATTGATCTCCCCTAGCTTATCCACCGAAAACACTAAAGAACTGCCACTTGAGTAAGAAAAACAGTGATACCAACACCCATCATCATCACCATCATCCTACAGGCATTCCAAGACATGACAAGCCGTGCCTACTTCTTCCCAGAGCCACTGCCGCCGGAAGGAGCCGTATAGGTGCTATTACCACTCGAGCTGCTATGGTACGTGGAGCCCTGCACCCGGCATTAATATCCCGACCTTTGGTATGATAACATGATACCCTTTAAAAATAAAAATAAAAAGACTCACATTGGCATTACTATAATAGTAGCTCCCGTCACCTGCCGGTGAAGCTTCAAGTCAATGTATTGATCCCCAACAACAATAAAACCAGAGGTGCATCATAACGACTTACTATTGGAGTAGTGATACGCGTTAGAATTTGCAGCTCCGCTACCATAGTCGCGAGCACAGTAGTGATTACCCTATCAGCATTCGGTGAGTTTACTCGTAAACAACCCCAAAGGAAAGCGGGAAGGAAAACCTCGCTATTGGTCCCAGAGGACTTGTAGGAGTATCCTTGGTTGTTGGAAGACATTTTTTCTGGTTTGGAGCTTAGATTTTGTAAATTGTGATTTGGTAGGGTTGAGTGCGTGGGCAGGAGGATTGAGGAAGAGGAAAAAGAGTCCAGAGTGCGGGGTACGCGTTGATCTTAAGTACTTTAGGGAGGTACGTAGGTCAGGTGACAAGGCGTGGTTTTTCGTTATCCAGATGAAGGCCATTTACTGTTGATGTACTAGTACAGTACAATCAGGTTTCCGCACCCAGGCAGGGCACCCCCATCAGGAAATAATGAAAGTGCAGAACCAGCGATGACTCCTCCTTTGTGAGTTAAGGGACTTGCTTTTGTTCAACCTCTTTCAAAAAGGTGGAGGCAATTGCATGCACAAGCAGAGTATCATACCGCACTTTCTCAGCTCCCGTTTCCACCAGCCCTCCATCACAAATATGCCAAAACACTACTCTAAACACCCATTTCTGGCAGATTCTACGAGCAGATAGTAGTGCGGGCCACATTTCGTCCAGCAACATTAACCGGCCCCCTCACCTCTGTGAAGTAAAACCCGTACTATACACGTACAGTATCGGTAGACAAGATCAAGCCTTAGTGCAGGGGACCTCCTACAAGAAAGCCACCAAGTGAGCCAGAACAGGCAGCAATCCCCACAAGATTGCGCTATAGTACTTGCAGCTTATACTTGTCGTTCCTGTAGCTCCGAAACTCAAATTTTTAGAAGATCGCCTGCTTTACCCCTGCGTTGCCATGCCAATGCGGAATTTAAGGCCTCCCAAAAGTTCCCCTCACCTCCAGCTCTCCAGCTCACCCCCCCTGCGCTATACAGCACAGTACAAGCTCCACGCATCACACCCTCAGTTTTGCTCCCCGCAAGATGTCACTCAAGGCGCCGGCAGGTGACGGGTGTCACCCGGAACCAACTGACACCCATCCGACGGATATCATGAGTGGGTATCCAAGTTTAGTCGGCTAAAGATAAGAGAAACGCCAACAGTATTAGAAAAGTGTACTCTTTCGCTATCCTTTCTGAAAAGGGTTCCATCTGATCCCAACAAGTGCTATTCAAGGGGATGTTAATTGTTTCTAGTGTAAAGTTCACTCTTTCTATCAATGCTAATATGGGCATTGTACCCACACCAGAAGATTCTCTAGTATGATACCACGGGAAGAAAAGGACATTATAGCCCTCACCCTCCCCTTGACACTCCGCCCTCCGAATTGACACCCCTATTGCCCCCTCCGCCGACAGGGTTATCATATCGAGATGCTCCGTCAGTGACATGACCATGTCGCCTATGATACCCATCACCCGTCGCAAGCAACGCTGCATACCCCCCTGGGACACCAGCAGCAGAAGTCCCAAAATGGCTCTTTACATTTTCCCCTTGTCCGATTTCTTGCACTTCAAGCTGCTCCCATAGGACCTGTATTACGGTACGGTTACCCTTGCCAATCACGACTGACGAGGAAGGGTAATTACCCAGCATTGGGGTGTGGCGTCAGCGCGTACTAGAGTACTCGAGTAGAGAGAGTTTTCCAGATTCCAGGGGTATGAATCTGTTTATGGTGTTGGAAACGGACTGCCGGTGCAGTACAGGGTAGGGGGGAGTTTGGCATTGGGAAATGATTTTGTTTCGAAACTAAGGAGCACAGAGACTCACTCGGCTTGGCGGAATTTCAGTAAGAATTGAGCCCGATGTTGCAGTTATAGAGGGTATTAGAGACCACCGGCTGGGCGAGCGCCAGTGCGGAAGGGCCTTCTTGCTTTCTCCTAGGGGATGGCGCGGAGCCCACGCGGTGACCAGGTGTATGGGACGAGGCCGTGGCCCTCTCATTAAACTAGTCGATGGAAGCAATAGGACAAGCACTACAAAAATACCGGAAAACCCCAGCGAACCAAAATGCCCTCGCCACACCGGTAGTTCGAAGGAAACGAGTTGGAGGCTTACGCAGCGCGGATATGCTGCAAAAAGTGAGGAGGAGCAGATACTTTTTTCTCTGGGAACATATGCATTACATTGGTCCATAGACAGGCCAGAAAACTTCTTGCCATCGTACATGATATTACACTGGAGGTCCCAGCTACCGGTACACGACAATAAAATCTCCCCTCTACCAATTCTCTTGCTCTTTCCCCAACTAGCAGAGCTTTTGTAGACCCATCACGTATTTCTTTCTACGAGGCTAACGACCCGACCTCGGAGCGCACTTACGACCATGTTGCAAAAAACCCTTCCAGCAGCAGCACCAATACCATTTCAAATCTTGGGCACTGAGTTGTCGTACTCCACACTTTTTACCAACCGGTATTTCAGGGGGGTCAGGGGCCCAACAACGCCAATACCATAAACATCCTACAGCACCCCCCATCTCGTATTCTGCTATGATATCATACCATGATACCTCAGTACTTACCTCGCTGCTTTCGGTACTAAGGACTTGAGAATGGCCAGATCAAGTCATACGAAGCTCCTCTAGTTAATTAAGAATAGTCAAGAGCAGCCGATCCGCTCTCTAACATAAGACACTGTGCCTATCTTCGCTGAGAGCACGACGAGTACAGTACTTGCGACTCGCCAGATGACTACAATACAAGCCAAAGCGATTCTCACAAAAGATCACTCACAAGAAAGCGGCCAACCGTTAGGATAATAAATTACTAAACAACGGTTAGTCGCCTATCACTTCACTATCCCTAATGTTTTCTGGCCTAAACCGACAAGCTGACATTCACAGGGCGTCCCGGGTGCACAATATATAACAAGGATATCAAGCGCAAGCTTCTGCGGGAATACGCCCAGATATAACCTCCCAGTAACATTATCCCGTTACAAACAGACGAAGGAGCAAGCGGGCCGGACACAGAGACTGAAAAATCAAACCCAACCCTACATACGTGTTGAAACAACATCCACCTACGCCCAATCCGCTTGAAAATCACACAAAACGCCTCCGAAACCCATTCCCATGCACCACCGGCCAAACATGTTGAAGTTTGTCCTCCATAGTACGTGTCCCCCCTCCAACAAGCAAAACAAAGAGACGGGAAAGGGAAAGATAGGGAAAGGATAATTTTTAGTTAAAAATCTAAACCTCAGCTCCGCTAGTCACTTCTAAAACTCCGATATTTTTTCCCCCTTAGAGAGGGGGATATGGAAGATGAAAAAGGTAAACAAGGAAAGGCTATTAAGCTGAGGTTAGGCCATCGATGAGGCTCTCATCCATGTTGGGAACCTCCATGCCGTCAAAGAGCCTGTAAATTTTCTCGCTCCGGTAGAAATCGTTGTCAACTTTGCTCATGTTAGCCTGAAGCTCCTAAAAAATGAATGAGAAACTTACCGATGTTCAACAAGAACCAAGTATCCATGACCTCCTGGATCAAGTGCCTGCTTGCACTGTCTGCCTCGTAACACTTGGCCCAATCGTCACCAAGTCTGAAGGCTTCGTCTTTCCAAGCGAGGAAACTGATCGTCTCGACAATGGTTGGTTGGATGATCTCCTTGCCGGGGTATACACCCCAAGTAACGGCGTTGGGGCCCTCGCTGGAATTGGTCTTGAGGGTTCCATTCTTATCGACAGCGTGGTACGACAAATCTGGATCCCTCTCGATACGAGTGATAAGCTCGGCGAGATGCTCAGGGGATACTAGAAGCTCAAGGTAGGACTTTTGGTACACATATCCATTTTTGGGACCCCAGCCATAGACAGGATGGGTAGATTTCACACCGTTAACAGCAGGCTGGGAGTTGATGGTCAAGAAACCACGCTCGTTCAGCTTCAAAAGCTCATCCCTAATCGTATCGGCCTCTGAGTTGATGTATCCCTCAGACCAAGGCAATGACGGAAGGTTTCCTGTGAGGTACTGCTTGATGAGCTCGCCAAGGTCCCGAATTGTCTTTGGATATCCATAGATCTTGATGTTTGCTTCATTGCTGCCCCGCAGACCAATACCGTATGCATCCAGCTCCCCGAAAGCCGGTGACCGGGAATCACCCCAGCGGCCATTAGGGAACTCATCCCACTCCTGGGTGCGTTGAACATAGGACATGTGACGGTTCTTCCAGAAGATAGGGCGGACATTCTCTTCCTTTCGGTTAAGACCCAGAGATGGGCGGAAGGGAAGAGCCTTGGTGCGCTCTTGAAGTGAGGGAATGAGCCCAAGCCCCTCAAGACACATGCGGGTGGCGGTTGCCAGATTCATAGTATAACTAGGATTTATTTCCGTAAGTGCGAATTCATTGACTGCGTTAAGGTAAACTCACAAGTGAAGGTGTAGGATCCCTGCGTCAATGATCTTCTGGCACAACTCGACCATCAAATCCCTCCCGATATCCCTCACAGCGACGTCATCATTCTTAACAGGCTCTAGCAGGTACAGCCACTTCTCGGGGATGTGGCACTTTGTCCAAGTAGCTCTCCTCATGAACGCAGCATATGTGTGGATAGGCATGATACCGGGAATAATAGGTACAGTAATACCGATATCCCTACACTTTCTAACCCAGTCCAAAAAGATGTCGACGTCGTAGAACATCTGAGTGATAATGCTAGAGGCACCAGCATCCACCTTCTCCTTCAAGTGCTCAAGAAGCAATTCTGGGTCGGTGCCATCGTCGCATCCCTCCGGGTAACCGGCGACATGAATGTCAAAGTGGTTTCCATAATTTGATTTAATGTACTTTACGAGATCCTTAGCGTAGCGGAAGCCGTGAGGGTCAGCCTCCCACTTCTCGTTTTCTCTAGGAGGATCTCCGCGAAGGGCAAGAATGTTCGTGCACCCGGCTTTATAAGCTTCCTTCAGGGCATTGTCAACCTTGGATTTGGGCATTCCTGTACAGGTAAGATGCATGCATGTCTCGATTCCGTAGACCGATTGTGCGACATTGACCATTTCACAAGTCAAATTAGAAAGACGACCACCAGCATTCCAGGTAATGTCGATGAATTGAGGCCCAAGCTGGTTCATACGGTCCATGCCTGTTAACTGATTAGCGACCCTTTCATTGCCGCGCCATGCGCCACGATTGAATTAACATACGGTCATAAAGATTTTGAACACCCTACGGAGGCAAAAGTGTCAGTAAACCGCCAGTGGTGGGCAACATTGCGTCACAAAAGACACTAACCTGAGCTGTCTTTGGAACAAAGTATTCGAAAGAGAATGTAGGCCTCCCATTCTTCTTGTGCTCCGCCACGAGCTTAGGAGCTATGTGAACCATGATGCTGAATAAGACTCTGAACTGTATCTATGACGGATAGATTCAAATGAGAAACTATCCCGCGATTGACACTATCTGCAGCACAAATAAAGTGACGAGGGTTCGAGGGGAAGAAGAGAAAAATATCCTAGGCCTGGCGAGGGTTAGAGGAAACGAGCAGTTAAGAAGGATTCTCGCGAAGAAGCAGGGAAGAATTGAAGTGAAGAGAGTAGGGTGCCAAAGAAGCGACCCCAGGGTTTGAAGGGAAAGGTAACGGAAAAAAAAAATAGTGACCGAAAGGAAATGGGGCGAGTAAGTACCCGCAATGCAATCAACCCTGGAAACAAAAATTTACCCTCAAAGCTCCCTTTCTAATTCCGCAAACACAATCTGGCAAACAATGACGACGAGGCAAAGGCCAGAGGCTCTTCGTTGACTCCGTTTCCCCAATTTACTCGGATCGGATCTCCAGATGCTCAGATCTAACTCCCAAAACAATTGACGATTCCTCCTCTTGCGAGTCAAGATTCGCCGTGATGAGACCTTATCTGAGTCTCGTTCTCAATTGTTCGGTGGGTACCAAGAGAAATTCCCTACGAGATCCCTTCGCAACACAACCCAGCCGGTCTCTTAGCGCTGTGCATGCACCGCTGGCTGGTGATGACGCTGGCCGATTGTTTGTGCTGCTTAGATCGAGGGAAGGACTATCAAATTGTCCGCGGGGACTCTCCGTCTAACCTGCTGAATCCTTGGGCGAATATGAGTAGGGAAGAGGGAAGAGGGAAGTGAGTAGATTGCCTCTGGGAGGTAAAAGTGAAAATGTGGGAAAGAACCGAGGGGGCCACACACACACAAGTGGTGTAGAAGAGGAGAGAACTATAGAACGAAGGTCAGAGAAGGAAAAGGTGATACACAAGAGGCAGGGTCCGCCGCTTTTTGTAAGGGTAACTCGAGTTCGGAAAGTCGATACTAGATTACCGAGAAGAAAAAAATTTCCACCAAAATCCCTGCCAAGAGGATGTCAACCAGCCTGCCAGACAGTAACTGCCACTTTATTCTTCCCTGCTCTTTGGAATAGTTAGACACCCACAAGTATAGCACAGTACCTGTACAGTATTCGTAGAGTACTCACCCAAGTACCATAGAGCGCGATCAGTCCCTTAACACTTGGCGAGACGACTACATTGACAACACTTGGGAAAGAATGAAAGGGAACTCTTGTAAGGGAATTGTCAAAGAATTGTCAAAGAAAGCACCCCCCTCACTAAAGGGACATTCTTCCTCGCTCTTTCCTTTCATTGCGAACTTGTCTATTATCCCCAATGCCGTATGAGCCCATCTACTATCGCCACCAGATCGGAATCAGACATCTTTCCATTAGAATCCCAATTGGGCCACAGTGGAATACTCGTACAAAGACCATTTTCTTTCCTTTTTTTTTTCCCCCACTTTTCCGTTGCACTGTGCCACCAGCAACAGTGCGGTACTCGAGAACACGCATCCCCACGAGTACTCGTAAAATACCATGCCAATGAATATGATACAAGTACCATTCTGTGGCCCCTCCTTTTTTTCCCGTTTCCCCTTCCCCTGCATCCTCCCTCCTGCCTTCCCCGCCAGTTGAACACCCCGCAAGCAGGAGGCCACACGCACAACAGAAAAAAAATTTACGCTCCCCAACTGTTTCTTCCACGCTCTTCCTAAACTGGCTGCCAGCGGTGTGCGGAACACCGCCCTGCACTGCACCACCACTTGCGGGTACTGTTCTCGAGGGCAGGCCCTTCATGGCCTGTTAATAATTCACTGCTGCGGACTTTGCTCGAATTGCACAAATTCGATAGGGCTCTAGTGATGTTGTGCTCGAGTCTCAGAGTCTCAGAGGCCCGATTCGATGTCCTATTACCGTACACATAGTTCTGAAAGGGGCAGTTTAAGGCGTCGGTGGGCCACCTGCCTTTGTCCGTCGATACAGGTGGGTAAAAATCTACGCCACCGACGACGATACACCACAGGGACCTTTGAGGGAAGAGGGAAGGTTGGAAGAAGAAGAAAACCCCCTCCGTGCGCTGGATATATCGCGGGCCGCTATTGCCGCATTGTGTCCAGATCAAGCAGTATCTTTTGCCAATTTAAAAGATATCCGGACACCCTGACGCCAAGGATCCGCGCTTTTGGATACTTATAAAATCCGCGAGTATAGTACAGTACGATACGAGTACAGTATAGTACTCGTAGGCTTCGACTAACAAAAATTTACCCAAAGAGTCTTACCAATTCTGCGGGCGACAGGACCAAATTTAAAGAAATTTGACTTTTCCTCCCCTTCCACAAGGGTCTCCAAAACCCCAACAATTAAAGTACCGTACATAAATTTATATACATATATCTAAGCCTAGGCCCCACTACTTCCCTCTTGATGCCTTTTCTCTCTCAAGTCGGTCACCTTAACAGCCAGACACCTCTGGGCATCGAAAATGCCGGATCACTGGTAGATCGCAAGAGTTCATAATAGATTATCCCAGGAGCCTTCGGCGAACCCACGTTTTCTGATTTCCGAAGTTTAAAGAAAAAGAAAGAAAAAAACCCCTCCCCAAGACGACCAGGCACGCATGCCTTAGCTGTAATCGTAATGATTACGAGAGCTTTCAGGGTCAGATTGGATCATTCCTATTCTCGGTGATAGACTATGAGGATGCATCGATGTTAGGACAGCATAAAGCTATTTACGGAATAAACCATCCCAACGTTTTTAGCCCATAATACTCGTAGTGCCCTAATAACCGGTCCGGCACCCACCACCATCCGCGAAAAGCTTAATAAACCTGCGCGAGCCCGAGGGAAGAAAAGTTGTTCCAATCCCCCCAAACCGAACACCCGAAGGATATCAGGCAAAAAAAACCAAAAATCTTCTTGCCATCACAACTTCCGCAGTATCGGAACCACTCCCGAGGTGACGAACATGTACGAGCGTCCAAGATATCCTACATAACTTAAATTTATCTCCTTTTTCCCCGGCTCACCCGAGGCATCTCCCGGGTCAGTCGCAACAATATTATGATATTTGCAAACCGAGAACAGCACCCGCATACCCCCCCCCATACCTACACGCATGACCAAATCCCGTGCACATATCGTATGTCTTTGGAATAGGGAGGGGATGGCAAGTATATATCATGATTGAACGGTCATACGTAGAAACCAACTTAGACCGGGCTACCGGTACCGCGATGAAGGTCCGACAAACTCGTGCGGGTAACTTGAGCCGGGATTTGTGTTCGGTGGTTGGGCGCTGGGTTCTTGTGTGTGTGGATGTGTGTGTGGGAAGTGCTTATGGTACTGGGATTTTGTGGGTGGGGTTGAAGTACAATACGGTATGGCACCGGTATGATATCCTATTGTATATACTAGTCCCACGGTTATTCTATCGGAGATGTCGTGAGAGGCCTGCTTCCTTTTCCCTATTGTAAGATTGGTGCGGTCTGTTTGGAGTGCGGAAAGTGCTCAACCTCCCCTACTCGTACCAGTACCCGTCCATCATTCATTCATCTATCGTTCATAGAGCGGGTGAGAGCTTTCCAGTAACATACGGGTACTACGGTAAACGGGTAGCGACGCCTATAAGCCCCATATAACTTAAATCTATATGCTTACCGGTATATCACAGTGCGGTCCCCCAACCCCATACTGTGCTCGAGTACTGCAAGGTACTGTACACTGTACAGCACAGCACCAGCTCAGCCTCCAAGACCGCAGTACCAGTGCGGTACCAGCACCGCAATAAAGTGCGCGTCGGAGATCACATGCAAGAAGCTAGCTAGAACTCGAAGGCCGAACAGGAGAAAGATATGCGGAACGGTATTGACAAGAAAAAGAGAGGGTTCCTTCTCTCCAACCCATACTGTACAGTACTGTATCAATACACGTACAGTACACGTGCCTGAGACTGCCCTGCCCTACTCATAACACTCAGTGAATGTCAATATACACCAACACGACTCTTGTCATTTCCCAAATCCTTATGCCACGAGTACCGTGGTCAGTCCAGCGGACGGCCGGAACATACTCATACTTTCCATCATCAAATTGAGAGTACGATATAATAATACTTTTGATAGCGCGAGAGAAAAAATAATAATAGGAGAACGAGTGATACTACGTGACTCCACCGTGTCGCCTCACCCATGCTCTCGATATTAAGGCGCCATATTGTGGACCCACTCCAAAGCCCCTACCTACTCGAGTAGGTAGGTATGATGCCGTATCTAAATCAAGTTAATGTTACAATCTCACAATTTGCAGCACGCACTGCTTTCCAAAAAAGGATGAAGAATGGTCTAATGCAAACAAACACCTTTGACCCCAGGAATACCTTTTTGGGCTACCGGTATTTGTGACCAGACGAGACGAGAAGTGATGGAATGGAGGGAGAGGGAAAAAGAGGGGAACAAAAAACAAGAAGAGTGAGGAAGAAACTACTAGTGACAAGAGTAAAAATTTAATGATAAAAAAAGTGAAAGGAAAGAAAGGTTACTAGTTGGTAGGAGGTGGGAGGGTGTGAATCCACTACTGCTAGTATCTGGCGGAACAACAATCACGCCCATATCTCCAGAACTACTGTTATCACTACTATGAGACTGTACGCTCCTTACTCCCCCGTGCCCCCCCATCCCACAGTCTCAAACACTCTCATCTCCCAAACTTCACCTTCATCCCCGTCTCAATACCATCCCAAATCGACTCGCAAACCTCGCGATCCCTGAATCTCCTATTCCGCTCAATGCTCAAACACTTCACGCCAGCACCCCACCCCCTCACCTGGTCCGGCACCGCCTCCCCATCCCATCCGACATAAAACCCCCTCACCTGTCTGAACAGCTCCACGGGATTATTCCATTTGTAATCCCTAAATTGCCACGCCTGCCCGGTTGTAAACACCCCAACCACGCGGTCCCAGTAGTCCGGCTTGAATTTCTCGATGCTGTCCACGACTAGGAAGCGCACGGGGGCGGTGGGGTGGATTGCTGGAATCAGCCGGGAGATTTGGTGGATTGTCTCGTGGGGTCCCGGCAGTTGGGAGGAGGGGATGAAGGAGCCATTTTCTAGAAAGGCTTTTATGTTCGCCATTGTTAGGAGGGAAGAGGCGGAGGGGGACAGAAGGATTATGGGATCACGGGAGCGGGATTTGCTGGGCGATTTGCTGGGGGTCGAGGTTGCTGAGGTGCCACCGCCGGCGGGGTGGCCGGAGCGGTGGGGAAGGGACTTTTGCTGAGAGAGGTGGTGGGGATGGGGATGGTGGGGACCTGGTGTTGAGGGAGGAGGATTGTTGCCGCTAGGTTTTTGGTTGCGGAGCCGGGTTATGAAGTCTTCGGCTTGTTTTCGGACGTGGGAGAAATCCTGTATTGTTTGTTAGCTCGCGACAGTTTTGTTGTAAGGAGTTAGCAGGGGGCATTACGGTAGGTTTGACTCCGCGAAGGAACGTATTCCGGTTAGATAACACTCTCTCATGGCTGTAAATCTCCAGCAATCTCGGATCCGTGACTCTAACCTTCCCAGCTAACGCTGACGACCCGCCAATCTTCGCATTCCCCCCAAGCGTGCTCTGCGCACCTTGCGCTCCCATCGCCGCCGCACCCACTACCCCACCGCCCGACACGGCACTGGTAGCATGAGCGTCAGCACTAGCTGAAGCGGAAGCAACGGCTGACGCCAAAGGCTTAATAAAATCCGACTCTTCCTGCCCGCCCTCGAGCCAAGTGACCAACTCTAACCTCTCCAAGAACGCAAGATTGGTAACTACCCCATCACCCAAATTCTGCGCTTTGGTAATGTAGTCTGGAATCGTATCCTCGCGATGAAGCCAGGCAAAATAGATAGAGCGCAGGTCGACGGATTCCCCACTGGACTTGTGAAAGCGCGTTTTTGTCCACAGGGGGAATGCGGCGGAATGGAAGATCAGGTATGACGCGGAGGCCAAAGAGACCCCCTGTGGCGGGGGGTTAGGGGTGTGGGAGAGTGACGGCGGGGAGGATTGGGAGATTGAGAGACGGAGGAGGGAGAGGGGATCTGTGTCAGCAGTGGTAGACGAGGATGACATTGCGGTATCGGGGCGCGAGACTGGGACTCTAAGGAGAGTATCAAACTCCACCATTCGTCTGGCTGCAGTCTAAGTCGAAAAATCTTCCTTCGCGAACGCGATGACGGCTGTTGGTTAGTTTTGGCTGTGTGGGGGAGGGAGAGGAGAATGGGGTGGTAGTTGTGTTTGTTCGGGTTCAGTTTGCTGAGGTAGTCGTGGGAAAGGGAAGCTTGAGCGGTTGACGTGATACCAGGAGCATGATATCGTGCAGGCAAGTTGGGTATCATAGCGTTGGTTTTGGCCCCAGTGTTGGGTGGCTTGGCATTTGTTTGGTTGCCTGGGTTAGGGCTAAATCCCCGAATTTTAATCGCAGTGCTATCCTAGGGGACAGCTTCCATGCGCTGTGTGATGTATCATATCATAGTTTAGAAAATAGCCTATCGATGAATATACTAGTAATCGAGATGTCTATTTGACCAAATGTGGGTCAAGCCGATCTTGTGAAAGCACCAAAAGTTAGGAATTCGAGCTGTAAAGAGCCTGACCAACCACGAGAACTATTTGACATCGACAGGCCCCTGTTCACTCATCGTGATATCGCCAAACCATCCTGCCCCAATACGAACCAACAGAGCAAACTCCTCTAAATAAACAGGGAATTAAGAGCGAATGAATGATGCCGCTCAATCGTGAAAGCATCAAGAACTGTGGCGTCAATGTTTAGTTACACGCGACAAGAACCAGAATCCCCTCCAAAATTCCCTCCCATTATGGTGTCCGCTCGAACCCAACCCACTGACCCTCCTCCGGTTGAACCTCCAACGACTCCCAAACCTTCGCCTCTTCCATCTCCTTTATAAGGTTCAGCTCATTCCACCCCTGCTCAAGAACTTCCTCAATAAGCCCGGCACCAATCTTCTCCTCCAACTCAGCAACCTGCTCGGCGTGCAACGGCGGCTCCTCAGGCAGCAGCGGGACCTCACTTGAAGAGCCCTTCTGCTCAACCGGAACATCATCCCCAACATACGCGGCAGAGGTATCGACTGCAGGGTCGAGCCCCCAGCGGCCCACCTCTTTATCCAAGAAGGCTTGTATGACTGGACTATCCGTAGTGACCCTGTTCGCCATTACGGAGAACTGCTTTCCGACCACCTTCAATTCGAACTCCGTGTCCTTTTTTCCCCGGATACCGTTGGCTTCCCGTTCGGACTTGAGGGCGGCTTGGTACCCTTCCCACCCCTCTGGCTTGACCGACTCGACGATTGCCAGGCGGTGCTTTGTGAAGTTCTCCGTCGACTGGCGGTAGACAGAGTGTTGCGGTAGTCGGGAGAGGAGGGATATGGTGTGGTTGTAGACTGCGATGAGGGCTGGTCGGGGGTTCGGGTGTGTGAGGATTCCTGCTATTCCGGTTGTGGAGAAGGGCGCGAGGCGCTGGGTTCCGACTTGGGCGAGAAGGCGGAGTGTCGGTAACATTTTTTTCTGGCTGGGGGGATGGCAATTGCTGGTGATTTTTGGGTTGGTGATGGTTTGGGCTTTTGGTGGGGAAAGTGTTGTTTGGTGGGTTGTGGAGGGGGGAACCAATCAGAATTCTTGCTCGTGCAACGTTAAAAAGTCGATGTCATGGAGTATCACTCGTAAAATTCACTCTTGGGACTTGTCTAGTTTAATAATTTGCTCATAAAGAAGATCTTTGTATCCCCTTTCTGTTAGAAAGTACTGAGCCCTTGGCTAGAAATGAGGTGTTAATAGTAGGTTATTCTCTGATGGAGTTTTGTGGATGTCTTTTCCTGGAGATATTTATTTCCTTGGGCAGGAGTGTTGGCAAATTTTTCGAAATGCCAACCAATAGCATGAGCACACCCCAAGACCTATACTCGTTATGATCGGGGTTTCACTGCGGAAAAGAGTGAGGTATCATAATAATATTATTATGATAATAATATTATGATAACTCCATTGGGTGTGTAAAGGACAATTCACGTAACAAACCCACAGAAAACCACCATCATCATAGTGTTATGATACCGAAAAAAAAAAACCCCCTCCGGAGATCCCAAACCGGGGCTCCAAGTTATGACTTAGTCTAACCTGCAAGAAATCCACTTGTATATAAAATCCATATCTTATCGTGTGACTACCCAGCAACAATAAACGGCTTCTCCTTCCGCAATCTCTCGAGTGTCGCGTCGTCAAACCAGAGCGTATCTTGGGAAACCTGCCGCCAGGTCGACGCCATCCATTACCCCAAAGAAATGTCTTGAAATTGGGGTGAAAAGCTTTATCTCATGTAGTGGATCTGATTTTGAGTTCCTGGTGTTTGAAGCTGGGTTTCGGCCGGCTGTGTGGCAAGTTACCGGTGGTTCTACTCGTGTCTGGATTACATGCAGCATTAGAAGCTCTGGTGCTTAGGCACTTGAACCTTAGGGTAGAATTTTTGCGTGGGGGCTGAGAGCTCCTGGGGGGTTTATGCGGGTGGTTGTTTTTTCAGGCTTGGGAATCGCCCTGGGCGCTACTATAGTACCGGTTGTTGTTGCGGTGGTGGTGGTGAATCTGTGTCCGCTTGCTTATCTTTTGTTGAGAGTCTACTAGGAGAAAAGCGAGCGTTCAAAAGACTCGATTCCCTACAACCTGCGAAGGCAGATCCGAAGCGTTATAATGCCGAAACCTTCACCAAGGGCTCTTTCCCACTTTACTGCACACATCGCGGCAGTCTAGCTGGCTATGTTGCATGTTTGCTCCTTGAAACACGCATTCATAACTTTGAGCTGCAGTTATTTATGTCTCAAACCTGGAGCCTTCTCTGGAAGACGCTCTTGAGCGCTTTTCTGCTTCCCACAGGGTGGGTATCCTTCCGGAAGAACTAAGTCACTTCTAAGTGTAGCAGGGTAGGAGAATTCCAAGGCAACCCAAACTTGGGGGGTATGTGTTCGGATGCCTAACTTAGATCTGGGTTCAGTGGTCCTTTTTCCTATCCATTAGCTTAGAAGTAATAGGAAATTAAACTCTTGTGTTAGGGGGCTTGCGCGGTAATGTTTCTTTCTTGCGCAACCTTGGGTTTTATCGATACTGTTCTGTACTCTCCAGACTTGGGTAGATACACCCTAACTCCGGTATAGTTTGAAAAATGATGTGGAAAAACTCTCTACCGTGAAGAACGTACCGTATCTGGGGAGAATGCAGCTACAAGGCACGCAGTATATTGTGCCCGCTAACCGGGTAAGTTGCTTTGGTTATGCTCACGTGCAATCACTCGTTGGAAACGCCACGGATTCTTAATACAGCTAGTGTTCGGCATGCCCGCACACGGAAAGTGGGGATAGCATCACGTGTCTCACGTTAGCTTCTAGAGCTTATAGGTGCCTTTGGCTTAATTGCTGACATTTCGAAGGGGCAGTACAGTGTTCTAAATGTTGAAAACCTGTGGAAAACTAGTATGAATGTAGAACACGAGGGGAAAGGGGGAGTTGTCTCCTTCCTTATTTTCTTATATTCCGTCTCTGGAATGGATTGCATTATTTCCTAATATCTTCCAACTACCGGTTATTCTAATATATCCACAACCTCCAAATGAGCACTTACGGTATTACCAACGTATCGGGAACCTCAGAATCAACATGAGGCAAGGCTAAGAGCCAACAGCTTTGTGACCGATACGGATTGATCAGTCCGACAGCATTTAAGGTTGTCTTACAATCTCGCGGTAGCCCCCTCTGACAAACAAGAGCTCCGCAGTCTAGAGTAGTTCCCCTACATTGGTGAGTGATAGTTGGATTAAGCACCCAACACCATGAGTGGGATTTCGCAAGCGATACTCATTCTAAGTGTTTGAGAGTTAATGAATAACACAATTGCTGCGATACCTAGGTCTTTCCTGGAATGCCAAGCATTTCCGGGGGAGAGTTATTCGTGGTGCTGGTGATCGACTATTCTGTCCTGAGAAAGTGGGAACCTGGGGGAATTATATTTAAAGAAATATAGTACCCCTAGGTTCCCCGGTTAGTGCTCCAGAGTCTCGGTAAACACTAGAAGGTATGGTCCCTACCTATATGCAATTTAGGTGAGATCGCAGGAGAGAGCACTCAGACGTTGTATGATATCGAGTGAGAAACAGTGATCCGAAGAAGACAGACCGGACTACGGTCCCACCATGGGTCGGCAGTCCGACCAGCCCGACCATAATTTTGAAAAGCTTGGGTCAGTCCGGTCGAAATTATTTACAGCCACCAAAGCCGGGTGGATTGGCCGCTTGGGTTCACTATATGATGATGATGCTACCAATTTAGGGTGTGTAAGATTTCATTCAGCATTGGGTTATAAGCAGTTTTAATGGTTTCGTATTCGAAAAAGCTGCATGTCGTAGTAGGTACGTATTGACCCGAATACAAGGATTTGCAAAATACATGGCAAAAAGATTCGTGCCTATCTAAGCACCTTGCGAGCATAATCCCCTGTTTTCAGAACTTTCTTGCCTGCCATGAGCAACTGCAATTGGGTGACTTTGCATATGTCGGGGTAATTTTAAGTGGCGGCGCATCTGACCACAGACCCAGACACTGACAATAACTCACTATCAAACAACACTACTTCGACATAACTATATAACCGCTTTTTGCGCACCTCACCAGCCCAGTTACCCTCTTCTCCGCTTCCACCTTAGACAGTTGGCCTTAGACCTTGTAAAAAAAAAGGGAAAGAGGTCACCTACCAATCCCTCTATTAAGCAGTGCAACAGAGAGGGCTCTCGCTAAAATATCCTATAGATCACCAAAACCCTCTCCCTAAAAGTCCTCAACTCCTTCGCAGTTCCCGCAGCGCGAGAGACCTCCTCCCGTCCCTCCATGCCCTAGAAATTGAAGACAAAGAACGCCTATCATACCAGCACTGGCCACGGGCGACTAGCATCACTTCTCCTACCCAAGGGCGCTTCACCAAACTGGAAGGGCTCGACGGGCATGACCTCCCTCAGCTGGTCCACCTAGACCAGGAGTACAGACTTGACAAAGTTGCTGTTCTCCCACAGAGCCCAGATGAACACTCCCGACGACCAATTCCGTGTGACCCCGCTGATATGGGCAGCCAACATGGAGCGCCCCTCCACTTGCGAGCTACTCGTCTCAGTAGGGGCGGACGTCTTCGCTAGTAGCTTCCGCGGGCTCGTCTGGCAGCTCATCAAGGAGGTGGGAGTGAAAGTAGATACCAGTGAGATTTGCGGCAACACGCCGCTCCACTGCGCCGTCCTCCTCGACCGGGAGGACAAATTCCGGTTCCTAATAGGGGCCAGCACGAACCCGAATGTTAAGGACAGCGTGGGTATGATGGCCCCAATTGGGCTGTTGGGTATCGGGATGGAGTCATGGGCATCACTTACTATCCACCGGAGCACAGTGCTAACCCCAAGATTCCGGACGACTCTGGGGGAAAAGCGGTCTACCACGTGCAGGTGTGCGAGAATATTTCCTTCATTTTGCTTTTACAAGAGAGGCCAAGGGGGAAAGTGGTGGTGATAGGAAGTGCGCTAAATTTGGGGTTTACTCCTATTCATGATTCTGGGATAGGGATTTTGTCTGTCATAATATTATCATAAGAGTCGTTGGGTTCGACCCTTCCTTCGGGGAGGGTGGTTTGGAGGATAAGGTTTGGTTTGTGCTTTTTGTACGCGATATAAGGCCTGTGTGCTGGGGGGTTTACTGTTTAGAACACTGATGCGTTTGGTTTACTTTGCTCAGTAGCTTTCCTTTTCTCCTGACCCCTTGCCTCTCCCTATCATCTTCACCTCACTGCATCTAAGGGACGGGGCATTCATTAAACGAACGACTAGTGTCGATCCGGACTTCAAATTCTCACCGAATCCAGAACCCCGGCTTATCAATTCCCTCTTCCAATCTTTCCTACACCACTATTCCCAAGCCATCCCCCTCCCCCCCCACCATCACTCTAATCCGGGAGCGTACAATTTATTACATAGCAGTGTGAACTACCGCAGAAAATTCACACCTTATATGTGAAAGGCTTCCGATCTCTCACGCAAGCGCTTCAAGCGCCTAAACTCACAACCACACCTCAAAACAGACGACACCCTGAGTAAAATCGCGCTTAGAGCTTAGAATTTAACCTCCCTCCCCCCACTCATTCCCGAAATGGTGAAGAAGAAAAATATTGTCACCACCAACTAATCATAAAATCAACCTCAGTATAGGGTCTGAAATACCGGTACTCGCGGGGCCGAGTTGAGGTTGGACCCCCCCCCACAAAGCGTTGGGATCGCCGGTCCGGCGAATGGCCATCTCCAAAGTGCCAAGCCGAGTGATGTGATGATGTTATATCGTAGAAAATAAGTGGTAGCTTGGTATGTGGGGAAAAAAAGGTACTTTTAAGGACCCAGGAAGCTCTTCCAAGAAGCTGTAATTTATCAAAGGTCTTAGATACTTCGTGGGAAGGCTTTGAAGAGCAGTGCTTCATAATCGAAAGAATAATTTCAATGGTCAGATTCTAGGTTGTGTGGGTATACAGTAGTTTGCTACTAGGTCGTGTGCGATCGTGCACTGCTGTCGAAGAACATATGTTGTAGAGCTGTCTCTTTTTGTGTCATGCCGTTATTAAATGTGTTGCCCTGCGTGATCTCCTTATTGGTCGGACAATTACTACACTTTGTGGGTGTCCAACTTCAACTCGGCTGCGCGGGCCGTTAAAGCTCTTCTCCCCCACCAGTTATCTACTATCCCTGCACTCCTAGAAAAAGATCATGGTATGATACGGTGTCATATCGCCCTACATATCATACCACTAACGTAACGCCAGGGCTTCCAGAACCTGCCAATGTATACTAAGGCAAACGATAGCTACAAACGACCCAGTGCCCGGAGAAAGAACAAAAGTGGAGGGAAAACATAACTTTTCAAGAAACTTCCGGGAGAAAAAGAAAGGACAAACTCCTCACTCGAGAGAAAGGATATCTGCAGAATAGAGAGGCACCTTTTGTTTGAATAGAACGCAGCAGGCAAGAATTAGCCCTTTGAAAATTGACAAAATGTGAGAGTACAAAACCCCGGTCATATCGTAGCCGAGAAGGATGGTGAAGAAACCCCAGAAAATGGAAGAAAAAGAAAAGCAGGAAGACAAAGCCCAAGACAATTCACCCCTCACCACCGGTAAGTAAACAGACGCAGGAGAAAAGGTACGAAAAGTGATAGGCAGTAAAAGAAATGATAACCACAAAAGTAAACATTTCCCAGCCGTCAAAATCCAGCTTTCGAAGGCTCCATCTAAGAACCCCTTGTTAAAAAGAAACAACCCCCCCGCACGACAAATAGGTTGTCAACGAAAATCGGAAGAAAAATTATGAAAGTGGTAAATATCAAGAGCAAACAGGTTTTCCACATGTGATTTCTTAGACCGTGACTCCAAATCAAGCATCATAGCAAATTTCCCATTTCTCCCCCGGTTCCTTGGAAAGAAAAAGAAAAAAAAAGCAGCCATCTCAACAATAGATCCCATAGCTGAAACCGGGGGCTAGCCCTCCCCCCAAAAAACAAAAAAACAAAAAAAAACAGCCCACTGATTTAAGCAAAAAAGAAAAGTGGCCGGTAAATCGCTAGTAGCATTACCACCAAGGACCAGCGGAATAACATGACGGGGCCCCTAGCTCGGCGATGAATCCGTCCCGATAGGCCTAAATAGCAACTTCATATCATAGGTGAGTTCATCCATAGCGTATCCATCATCTATCGCCGACACAGCACCCTGCAGGTCCAGTCTTCCAGTATCGTCCGCGATAAACCCTCGCACATGCTTCAACATATTCTTAACCCTAGCAACCGTCCGATCATCGTCGATTCCATGCCTCCATTCGGTTGTCCGGTTACGTGCAAGGTACAGCTTCGCCAGCCAATAGAAGGGCAATCCGTCCCGCCCAAAACCCACTCTTGCAGTGGGTAGTGGAAATTGGCTATGAAGATCTGTCTCCCACGCTTTCTTCCACTTCTCCAACGAGTATTGGCAGATCCTTACCGCGCGGGCTGCTTCCGATAAGGTGTTGGGTCGTTGCTGACAACCGATTAGAGTGTTATCTATGAATCCTTCTGGTGTTCCCCTCCCACTGCTCCCGCCATTGGCGCTCAATACACCGCCTTCATTCTTCCATTCCAGGGATGAATTAGTCATGCTCCCTATTGCCTGGCCAATTCCCATTTCGGTAGCGTTCGGCAGCCTCTGTTGAGTAACCCATATATGCGAGTGCAGGGCATGAACAAGAATAAACTTTGAGTAGGCATTCGTGGTCCCCGGCTTGAACTCTTGAGAAGGTTCAAGAAGCGCGGTCACGGTTGCCATAAATTCTGGCTGTTGTACTCTCCTGGAACCAGTTATATTCTTAATATTCGGCCCTTCACCATTCAGTCCCAAGGCATTGGCGCATTCCTCGGCATCCAGGGCATCCCAGGAAGCATCATCAGACGGTAGTGTTAACCTGATATCGTGGAGGTTCACGCGTGGGGGGTGGTTGAAGAAAATTGCATATGCGGTGTCCAAGAGCAGGATCCCAAACATCACCCTATTCCTTCTTTCCTGCTCTACCCACGACGCCCAATCCCAATCTGCCGGACTTGATGACTGGTGGTCTCCAACCTGATGGCATATGCTAAACCCTGCGGCTCCCGGATTGCTAGGTGTGAATGGAGAGAAAAGGCCTGCTTCCCGGGCTTTTGTGATAACAGTCCCGTAGGCCCTTCTGGTGTTTTCTCTTTGATGGAAAGTACCATGCCAAGCAGATAATACATGAAGGAAATATCGGGCCTGGATTTCTTCTAGTTGCCATGAGGTCGATACCTGGCTCCCATCGCTCAAACCGTGATCAGCTCCATCCAATGCTGCAAAAGACCTATCGATCATCGCCCGAACATCCTCAGCTGTGATGCCCTTATCTGAATAGACTGCACCAATGCAGATCATGGCAAGCAAGAGACCGTCTGCTATGGTGAGCATGTTGAAAGTCGGCAAATGGATCATCGGGAAATGCCCCTGGAAATTGATAAAAAACAACCGGACAAAATGCTTAACATGATCCGGGGTCAGCCACTTTTTCAAATCCTCGGCTGTAGAATCTGATTCAATCCTTTGGTCAGGTGATCCGGCAGATGAGTTTCCCCGGCCGGGGCTTTCCGGAAAGCAGATTGCGATGAGCTGGTCACATTTGACTTGTAATGGGTCGATTTGTTGTGTAATATCCCAGCCACCAAACACTCCTCCTAATGGGCCCAGAGGCGGCATGTCCGTTAGATCAGTGGGGAAGTACATGCCATATACTGGTTGGTCACTATCCTGGAGGGATTGGTCTATTCCACCTACAGAAGTGCTAATGCCATCACTAGGGGATTGTGTAGATGGAGGCAAATAAAATGGCAAAAATTGCTGCTCCGGTAACTCTATTAAATTCTCCCATCCACTGTTATAAAACGGATTTGCAGGAGATTGTGAGACCCCGGCATGGTGGGACGATTGTTGTTGGCTATCAGGAGTTTGTGATTGCCGTTGCGGGGGCGAAAGGGAATGTCGACCCGAATGCGCCACATGAGCATGAGGATGTGTCGGTGGGGGGAAATTGAATCCTTCCCCGTATCCCACTGGTTGACCTTTTAATGTTGATGAATCCGAAAGCTCGGGCATCGACATCAAACCAATTTCGCTCCCAGAATCTGTTCTTCGAGGGATCCCCGAGTAAGAGCATTCCACTCCGTCCCTCATCCGGCATCTCTCGCAGGGGTTGCCTGAGTCGCATTGGGCCCCCGATCTTACGCATTGGTCACAAGATCTTGTAGTCGATCCCCTCCCTTCCGAGGATGATTCCGGAGAGAATCTATCGGACCCTTCCGCAGGAGCAACAATGGGAGTTGAGATCGGACTCTCCGCCGGCAGAGGAGGCGGAGGTGGTGGTGGAGGGGGAGCAGGATGATGGTGATTAGGCCGTCTTCCCTGTTGGTGAGCATGCGCATGGCTTAAATGTGTTGCCCCAGTAGGATTTCCCCTCCTGATAGAGCACTTTTGAAAATGTCTCTTCAGGATATCTGACCTTGAAAACGTATCCTTACATAAAATACATTGGTAAGGGCGATCACCAGTATGTCTCAGAAGATGTCTCTTTAAATGCTTTGCATGAAGATACGTTTTAGGGCAATGAGGGCAAGGAAATTTCCCATCCTGATCCTTCACCGGGGTGATTTGACTTGTCGCCCCAGGCGTTATTCCAGTGTGACCACCAGAAACACGACCACTACTCTGTCCACTACTTGGCCTAGGGTTTGCGTTCCCTGGTAAAGTTAGGGAAGGAGGCTCTCCTACCTGGCTCTCGGCTCCCGATGTCGCCAAAATTTCTGAACCCATTCCTACCCGGGACCTATTTGAAGGTGTGCCAACTCCGGAGCCCTGGATTGGGCCAGAAGATCCCAAGGTTGACATCACCATCCGATTTCCTTGCCTGTCAGTTGTGGGCGGCGGCATAGGTCGCAAGGTGGCTGGGGCTTGCCGCTGTTGTTGAACATGCCGGTGATGCTGTTGGTGCGACTGCTGGTGAGTAGATCGAACCGGGGAAGACGGAGGTGGTGGATTTGACATAGATTGTAAGCTTTGGTGAAGAGACATATGAGGCTGCATCTCTAAGAAGGAGCTAGGGTCTGAAGGGGTGCGCGAGTGGTGAAGAGTGGGAGGCTGGTATTGCATGCGAACTTGTGATTCTATGGTGGGCGCTTGAGAAGTCGGAAGTTGGGTTAATAGTCCTCCAGGGCCCGAAACTTGATGCGCGTCCATGCTCAGGTGGAAACTGGTGGGTGAGGAAGACTGCCCTTGCGACTGCAAGGGACGTAGTGCATGGGGTTGGTTGGTTAACATTTCAGTCTGTGGTAACTCTAGCCCAGTATCAAGTTGAAAAACGGCCGAAGCAAGCTGGTACCGCTCCTGTTGGAGCGCCTGAAGAGATTGCTGATGATGCTGTTGCTGTTGCTGTTGCTGTGGATGGCCCGGAGCAGAACTGCTGTGCTGTGAGTGGTGGTGATGGAGGTGAGCCATGGCTGAGACCAAGAAGGGCCACACAAGAGGGCGATAGTTGAGAGTGGGGCACGATATATAATGATCCGATAATAGCTCTAGATGAAGGAAGACACGAGGGTAAAATTGTTAGTGATAAGACCTATGACGGAAAATCCTATCAGGGTGGAGAAGGGTACAAGAGTGGTTGGGAACTCTGCGGTATATCAACAACTCTTTCGCCAGTTACACTCTCCTCTCGACCAGAACGTCCGTACAAGCACGTTTCAAGAAACCCAAAATCAAAGATGAAGCAGAACCTCCACAAAAGTTCACATGGCCCCTAGGGGTGGAGGGGAGGTAATGATGCAGCGACAACCGAATACTCACTTTCGGTAGCCCTTTTTCGATCCCGCGTTCCCAAGCTACTGGTGCCGTAGGAGGCGGTCGCCGATGCCTTTTAATAAATTCCGCTTGCAACCTGCACGGAAACCTAGTCACTCCTTTTCCCTCCCTCTCTTTCTCGACTAGTCCGCCTCTCAACTTCCTGCTCGCAATGGCGCGCGCGCCTTTCGGGGGCGCTGTTTATGAGTCTCTCCTTCCCGTCCTTCAACTTGAATATTTCACTTCTACCTTCTCCTTTCCCGTCCCCCCCCTAGTATTTGATAAGTCCCGGCCAAAAAAAATCGAAAATCGCCAGAGCAAGTTCCTCTAGCCTGGTTCCGTGCTCAACCTTCGACGAGAGTTTGGAGAGAGGGGTGACAGCTAGTGCAAAAGGCTATGACCAGGGCCAGTTTCAGCTGAAGCTCCCAGAAAGCTGGAGCTAAGTATCAACGTAACGTACGGGGAGTAGCAAATTATAGGAAGGGCAATAGCTGAATATGGCTTCCACGAGATCGAAGTGAAGCTTCGGCAACGTGAGTGTAATGACAACTGTGAATCTGCCCCGGCAATGTGGGTATGATATCGCCTGTCTGCCCTGCCCTATGACGACCACCAGACAACCCAAAACTAGCGTCCTTCCTTCCCTCTTTCTCTCCTTCCAGACAACACAAAACGGTTGCAGCGAAGGACGGTACCGGCAAGACCAGAATCGAACACCGCCTCGCCCCAATTTTTTTTTCCGCTCCACAAGCAGACAACGAATCGCCAATTCTGACCCCGTTAAGTTTTCTTTTTTTCCCTCTCTTCTCCCTGACCTCTTATTATTTTCCTTCCTTTTTTTTTTTTTCGCCCGCGTACTGTACACGCTTTTGTCTCCCTTTATCCCCTCTTCACCCTCTTGGTATCCCTCCGGTCATGGGCAAATGAAGTAGATAAATTTAAAAAAAATACGTTCACTTCAAAAAAAAAGCTTTACAAGACTTTTTTTCCGCAAAAAGGGAAAAAACAAGGACTCGAGAGACTCGAGAAACAGCACCGGTAACTCGATCTCCCGTTGAATCTAAAAGGGCTGAGCCCAGAAAATGAGCAAGAGGACCCGTTCGTTGCGCACTAGAGGTAGGCAAGCTTACCTTCGTCGGCAATTTCTTCACCACGGGAACGGGGGTAGGGGGGGGGTGAGGGATCGGAAAGAGGGAGGGGGTGAAGGGTTTTTCCCTCCTTTACAGAACCGACTTCTAAGACAGAATTTCGCCCTCCAGCGATGTCCCTCGCTTTGCCAAATTTGGTGAATGTGGGAGCTTCTCCTAGCAAGCCGACACCGACATGGACAATTCTGAAAAAAAAAGGGATGCGGTACTGTACAGTACAGTGCGAGTGAATGAGTAAGGTACAAGTAACCCAGGCAAACCGAAGGGAGGAGAAGAATAAGAAGCAAATAATAATAATACTCGAGTAATGGGGTGCTTCTTGTCGACACGCGCTAGACCCCGAGAGGAATACGAGGATGTTTGGATGTTAGAATAAAGACACGAATGGGTGTGGAAGAAAAGAAGAAAAGAAGCGAAAAAAAAGGAATACTAGTAGGGTCTAGAGAGAGTGTGGGATGCTCCTTATCAAAAATAGTTAATGGTGAGGAGGTAAACGAGAGAAGGGAGAGGGAGAACAGCAAAAGAAAGTCGGATCAGGAGTGAGAGAATTTGAACCAGAACGTGTATGATATTTATTTGGGACTAGGTAAGTTATGTGTGGATGATATCGAGATGAGGGCGAGGTGTGTGATCGTGTGGTGAACCGGGTAAGGTGGTTGTATCTCTCTTCTCCAGATTGCCTCGAGGGAGAACGTGAATATTGGGTGATTAAGTTGAGCTAAGCATGCAGTGAATTGATTCGAGGGGAAAGGGATGATACCGGTAATGACAGCAGGGACGTGGGGAGCTACTCTATTCACTTACTACTCATACTGCGCTTGTAAATCTCATCAATGGAAAAAGTGGCAAGCAGATTTGATATCCGTCTATCCATCTCAGTTTCCATATATCATGAGTTATCCCACTTCCGGATACAGCCCTAAGGGAGTTTTATGCCCCCATCCCCCTACGAGTACCATCCTTAACATAGGTAATCCTCGCCCTGGAGAAAAATGGAAAAAAGTAAAGAAGATATCCAGTCTCTCCTTTCTCCCTCCCTTTCCTTCCTGTCCCTTCGGCCAACTCCGGGTTAACCCATGCTCGCACGCATTCTTCCTCGTTTGCTCGTCTATTTCTCTGATGATCCTTTCTGCTCCGGGTTGCCCTAACTCTGGCGACCCGAACATCGATGCCCAGTACCGTACTTTGAACCGGTATGATACCAGATACCCCTAGGGTAGGAATTGGGGAAATGGGGAGTGACAAAGGGACGCCGGGAAGCGACCCCAAAAATGTACTAATAGGCTGCTAGCTACGAGTACTACTCTTCGTACCGAAGTGTTCCGTGGCAAGATGTTGGTGATGGATAGTAGGAATCTAGGCTTGGGCATGTGTCAAATGCTTGTCGGGTGTAACGATAGGTGGATATTCCCACCTTTATTCATTATATGCTTGTTCCTACCATGAAGAACCTACCGTAAAACATTTGTGTCTGAATTTAGTATGGGAGCTCAGATACGCACAGGTAAATTGCCATAAAAAATTTTGATCCCCGCGTTCGGGTTCTTCATGCCCGAACGTGTGCGGTACTCGAGATGTACTGTACCACCCACGGTATAATCTGCCGGGGGTACAGTAACTCAGGAAGTGTTGATCCCGCAATGTTTTCCAACAGCTTTGGGTTGGCCGGTTCCCGTCTGGGTGGCATCGGTAGCGGGTATTTACTACTCGAGTACCACTACAGTACATGTGGAGGCATTATTTATGCACTGGGAAATCTACTGGCAATGGCGGCGGTGGAATGATAGAATCGAAGCTAATGGGAAGCGCTTCACTCACATATACAGTATTAGTAGTTGAGTCCAAAAGGGCTTTTGACGGATGAAAATAAAGAAATTGGAAGCTTCAAACTTGGTCTCGACATTCCCCGCAAATATTCCAACATAGTGGTACCCCCTCATACATCTGAAATACAGTACTGCATCCCTCCTTCATCCTATTTCACTACGAGTGATAGCCGAAAGCCGTAAGTAGTACCACAAGTAATACCCATTACCCGTACTCCGTTCCCGCGGCTTTGCGATATCAGACCGGTTGCGTTTCAAAGGCAGCGCAGCACAACAAGCGCCTCAATTCGCGCGACTTCCCCGGATGGTACAAATACGAGGGGGAGCATAGCTTCTAATCCCCTCCCCCTTCATCCGAACTCATGAGTCGCCCGAGTGATTGGTTGAATGGTTGAGAGGTACCGGTACCGTTGACTGATTGATTGATCTATCCGAGAGCCGGCTTGGTCGGTTTACTGATCAATCGACAATGATTCGCCGAACAGTAATGTCTTGAGGATGCAGCCCCGACCAGTAGGTTGCACAAGTGAAAGCTCCAAGGTTCATGCGATTGAGGCTCCGGACTAAGGTAGGGTATCCAAGCGAGCCATGGGTTTCGGTGAAAGAGTTACATTGTGGCTTTGTGAAAGTTATGTAAGTCAAAATGATAGGAGAGATATCCAAAGGGCGGAAAAGAGTTCCTCAAAAAGTACCATCAAAAGAACAAGCGGAAGTAGCCGCCGCTTGTTGTCCTGAAACCTACTTCTATCCTGATTTCTTGCATCTATATTTTTTTTCTTCGTTTTTCCCCCCCTCTTGTCTGCGTTTTCCTTTTTTTTTTTTTTTTCCCCTCTATTGTACTCGTACCTTTCGCCTCATTATTTTGCTTATTTCAACTCCCTTGTCTCAACGATGGAAATTCGCGTACCGGTATTGGACGCACTCATTTCGTTCTTGTCGATTTCTACTATTCATATCTGTGATATCATACATGCAAGAACTATCAGTAAAGGTATTCCCGTGATAGGGTTGGTGCCCAGACTTACAATAAGCAAGCAAGCAAGCGTGGCGCCAACTCGACCATACAGCCTAACGCAGTGCTGCTGAAGCTGTCCAAGCAGGTGGCGTACAGTATTTGTACGAGTACTGTACGTGTAGCACAGCGTATACCGGTACTGTATTAACTCAACAAAATGAGTGGCGCCTTTGCAGAGTTTGATCGCCCGAGACAGGCGGATTTGGAGAATATGGTAGGTTTTGACATTCAATCAGAAAAATCTCATCGCAGCAAACTATAATAATTATTATTATGTGAACCGCCGAGCCGGCATATGCCACCTATGGCATGACGCCCTAAGAGGGGCTTGAGGCTTCTTGACAGCAATTACGGTACCGTAACTCGATCTTGCCATTTCTTTTTTGTTCGCTACTGGGCTCCTCTCGGGAACTTTTGTTTCAAACCGGAGATTAGAGCCCTGCACGGAGATACTCGATTCGTTGAGTTAATGCGGTATCAGTATACCATACCGGACGGCAGCTCACCACTGCAGAAGGGGAGGACGATGAGGGGAAAAGCCGCCGGTGGAAAACTTAAAGCGCTAGGGTTGTACAGTACTATGTCTACGGACTTAAAACTTTTCGCGACGATGCCGTATCATTTAAGGGACAAGGAGGGTGCAGTGGTATCTATCTCGGCATGTCCACTGTATGGCACTCGCACATTGTTGTAGGGATTCTGAGACCTCCAGCTGTAAAAATAGAGAGGGTAGTGTGTGTCATAGAGGGGTGTTTTGGAAAGGGCTCTCGCCAACTGCCCTCCGTACCATCCCCGAGACACTCCACACGAGCCCATCAAAGCCTGCACAGACTATCAGTAAACATTCTCACTCCAACAGACTCTACTATACCGAAAACACCAAAAACCCCCCAAGGATGGTCATACTCGAGCAGTGGTTAGTCGTTCGGAGAGGGGAAAGAAAATCCACAACGAGCAAGAATCCCCAAGAATCCTACAAAGCTGAGGACGAAAGGTCTAACGTCACCCTAAATGCGGGAGCACAAACGCTTGATTGGGCGCAACTCTACACGAGCATGTACCCGGGGAAATGTTTCCGTGCTCGAGGGCAAGACATGGACGGTTAACCAGCAGAATAGACCCTATCTTGTACTCGTACTGCATGGAAACACCTCCCCT